ACTAGTGCAAAATACTGAGCGGTGCTATACTGCACGACTAGTGCATGATATGTTTGAGGACGAAAAAAACCATTTGTACCTCCTTTTCGCTCAGCCCATCATAATGGAATTTGACAAAGTGAACAGGTTATTCCAATCCGAAAATCCTGACCCGGTCAAGCTTTTTGAAGACTTGGAGTTGCTCGTCAAGTCAATGCTGTTGCGAGTAGCTTTGAAAGAGCACGCTTTTCCCACTGCAGAGTGGGAGAAGCATTTGCTTCATGTGCGGGCTTGTAATTTTGGAACTGTTTTTTTAGACGCGCTTCACAACAGCACGCTTTCAGAGGAAGAGAAGGACCAGATGTTGGTTCGCTGCCGTGAGTACCTAGTGTCGTGCGTGAAGTCTCTGCTCAAAAGGCTGCCAAGCAACCTGGAGTTGTTCGAGAACTTCAAGTTCTTAAGGCCCTGCTATGTTCGCGACGCATCTTTTAGTACATTTCACAAGGTCATTTCTATGGTCACAGCACCATGCAGCACATCAATCCTTGAGAGTGAGTATGTGTCGTTGCAGGCAATGCACTCTTCTCTTGCATTGAGCAACAATGTTAGCGAATTCTGGAGGGCTGTCGCGAAAGCTACTAACAGTGTGGGTGAAGCTCTTTTTCCTAACTTGTCAGCGATGGTGTTTGCACTTCTTTGTTTACCTGCGTCGAACGCCGCTGTAGAGAGAGTGTTCAGTCTCGTGACTGTAACAAAGACTGACCACAGAAACAAGCTCACTGTGCGGAATCTGGAAATGATTCTGCACGTTCGGTGTGGCTTGAAAGAGTATTTCGGCTGCTGTAACAATTTTAAGCCAAGCGAGCGCGCTTTTTGGAGAAATTTAACAGTGCTGTCATGTATGAGGTGTAATACGTTCCTAGAGCATCGAATAGTGCGCGACGATGTGCAATATTTTCCTAGTCTTGCTTTACATCAGTTTACTTGTAATCACAAGGAAGTCGGCCAGTGTTTTTCGGTCTCATCAGTCTGGCAGCAAGTTGTATGTACGGCGAGGTATGCTGTGTTTTCTTGCATGTCTCATGTCAGTTGCATTTACACCGAAGTTAGTATTTTCTTATCTCTTTGTTATCAATTTGGCAGCAAGTCTTGTGCTGCGAGGTGTGTGTTTTCATTTTTGCTGTATCTCCATGGATGTGTATTTAGAAGAAATTCACTGTCTTTTTTTCTCATTGATTGATTTAGAGTATCTTGCTGTTTCTCTATTTGTATAGGCGTAAAAGCCTTGTTTTTCTCTGTCACAGTAATTCTTGCTAATAAAAAAACTCTTTGTACCACTTTGCAGTGCATGGTTTTTGAACATCAATCTTGGCTACATTGGGCTACTTCTTAACTGGGCCCAATTGCATGGGTGGCTATTTTTGGGCTACATGTTTTTTAAATTTTGGCTGCGCCCCATTCTGCCATCTGGCAACACTGATTACTTTGCGTGAATATGGACGGGAGCCATCGGCTCAAGCCCTTCGTGATCGGGCGATCCAAGAAGCCTGTGTGCTTCAGGAATCAGCACATCCCGGTCCGCTATAGGAGCAACAAGAAGGCCTGGATGCCCGTGTCGTGTTCGAGGAGTGGCTGCTCGAGATGGACAGTGTCATCGAAAGTCAGGGGCGGAAGGTGGTGTTGCTGCTTGATAACCGTAGAGCACACAACGTGAGCCCGAAGCTGACATCAATTGAATTGATGTTCCTGCCGCCGAATACGACGGCAGGCTTGCAACCGCTAGACGCCGGCGTGATTGCTAACTTTAAAGCGTTGTACCGGCGACGCATGCTCGAGTGGCTCGTGTTAACGATTGACCGCTCGGCTCCCCGTACGTCGGGCAATGCAGGCGGGCCCTCTGATGCCCCTGATCTGAAGATTAGCCTTCTAAAGGCCGTGCGCTTCGTTTACGGCGTGTGGTACGAGGTGAGGCAGACCACCATTCAGAACTGCTTCAGGAAGGCAGGCTTTGTGCGCCAGGACCAGCCTCCCTCGTCTAGCGATAGCGACAGCGAGACCGGCACGGAAACTGCGGATCTGACGGAGCTCTGGGAGCACGTCCCTACTGTTGATGCAGATAGCGGGTGTGTCGCGTCGGTTGAGGACTTCCCGACGGCAGACAGTGCTGCTTCGTTCTACGATGAACTCATCGACGAGGCAATCGTCGCGGATGTGTTGTCGCGACAGGCGGCGGCGTTGTGCGACGGCAGCGACAGTAGTGATGAGGAGGTTGACAGCGCCTCTACGACCCCGTCGATGACGACGCAAGGTGCACTGATGTCTATCGACTCCCTGATTGACTTTACGCACATCGAAGGAATGCTGCCAGAGTTTTCGCAGCAGCTGGAAGCTATGCGCACCGCGGTTGTGAAGCTGAAGCTTCCGCGGAAGCAACTGCAGATTTCGGACTACTTCGGCGTGCCGAACCCGTGATGCGTTCTTCGGAGTAAGAAATAATGTCTTGTTTTTGACATCCTACTATCTACAATATTTATTAATTGGTGAAAATAGCGAAATGAAGCCTGGAGCTATAAAAGGTACGTCCGGCGACGATTTTTTGGCGGCAGTCCAGATATAACGATCACCGGTTATAACGATCATATTTTTAGCTTTTCTCGATATCGTTGTAAGTGGACTGCACTGTATATCCCAGACAACATCTGTGATAAATGCGATAAAAAAGGTGGTGTACTCGTCCAATATACCTGTGTCACACGGGCGCGCAAAAAGTCTAAGTAAGCGGTCTTTTACGAAGTTGAAAGACTTTTAACAAAGAAGTGTTTGAGGTGCAGACACACGCAACAACGATCTCCTTTTAGTGCTTTCGTTCGAAGATGCTAGCGAAAGCGTGGCGCTAGCAGTTAAAAAAGAAGCAATGAAAATTAAACGATGTATCACGATGTACAAATTAAAGACTTGTTGCACTGCTCGTTTCTTCAAATAAATTTAAGAATAAGAGATGAAGAAACACCAATGCGAAAGTTTTTTGCACTAGATAAGGAAGCATTCCCATAACTAGCGACGTGCACAAGTCCGTCTGGCACCACTGGGTTTTTATTTACCGTATTTGTTTTTCGCTGCTCTCGACACCTTATGGGCGACCGTACGGGAGAAAAAGCGAGGATCGCAAGCCTCACGGCCTGCCTTCTCGCTCTGGAAAGCGAGGCAGATGCTGCAAAAGCCGCCAAGGAGAGAATAAAGCAGCAACTGCTATTCAGCAATTCCGTGCTGTGCGCACTGGAGCTGTCGGAGAAGGCTTGCATTCGATCGATCTGGGCCTTCAGACGAAACGAGAGGTGGTTCGAGGGAACTGTACCTCACCTCGGTGAGCAGAACTTCAAGCAATCTTTTCGAATGTACCCGTCCACATTTCGTTTTATTGTGGAGAGCTTGCGCAGTGAGCTCGAAAGACAGTGCACCAGCATGCGTGAAGCCATCACTCCTGAGAAGCGAGTCGGCATTGCCCTATACAAGCTGTGTTCGTCAGCCGAAGATAGGACTGTGGCCAACCTCTTCGGCGTTGAACGCTCGACAGTAAATACCTTATACAGACAGTTTTGCGAGGCTGTTGTCGCTGTACTGGAACACAAGTGGATCAAAATGGTGATCGCAGAGGAAATGGCGAGGCACATTCAGAAATTCGAGGCCGTCACCGGTTTCCACCAAGGCGTCGGAGCCTTGGATGGATGCCACTTTCCAATCTCGCCACCTAAGGAGCATGCCACAGACTACTACAACTACAAAGGCTGGTAAGTGGCCTAATACAACTTCTTAATGTAAAAAAAGCATGATTTATACCGTATTTTAATGTGCCTAGAAAACAACACTATTCAACCTTTTCGTTACGCTATATAGTTCACTCCTAGCTTTGCCACAAGGGCAAGTCCACATCGCAATAAATAAAAAAAGCGATGCCAAGTGCTTTAGTCAACGCACAATTTGGTTCCTACCATCTCGCATCATTTACAGGCACTAGAGCAAGCCAAGCAACGCAGTTTTCACGTAAGCAATTTAATGCAACAGCATGAGATGCCAGATTGCATTTGCAATGATAATTCCGACATGCTCATAACGGCTGCAGAAAGCAGCAGCTCATCTGCAGAAAACTTAATGTCTATTACCTACTATGTTGAAGATATATCACAAGGCTCCAAGAAAACAAAAACATCCCTGGCTCCATTAATGACCACAGAAAGCAGCAGATTCTTAGCTGTACACAAATATACATGCTTTTGTGATAGTACTTTAAGGTAGCTGCACGACTGTAACAACTACAAAAACACACGCACACACATTTGGTGTCCATTGCAGTTCGCTGCATTCACCTTACGTGCCACGCTCTGTTTTTTGCAGGTATAGTATCATCTTGCTGGCACTTGTGGATCACAGATACCGCTTCAGGTATATCAACGTTGGAGCACCTGGACGCTGCCATGACTCACATGTGTTTGGGTATTCGCGAATCTCCAATGCTATTAAGGGTCCCCTTTTTAAAGCTCCACTTGCCACCATAGCCGGGACAGTAGTACCACCACTAATTCTGTGTGACCAAGCATTTTCATTGGCACCCAGCCTGATGAAGCAGTTTGGACACCGCGGGAAGATTAGTGAAAGTGAAAAAGAGTTCAACTATCATTTAGGTTCAGCCAGGAGAATTGTTGAGAATGCATTTGGAAGGCTTAAGACCAGGTTCCGCTTCACTACAAAAAGGATGGAGTGCCATGTAGGCAATGCTCGCTTAGTAATACGGACATGCTGCGTGCAAAGCAACATTTGTGAGCACTTCAATGACAATGTCCACCCGCAGTGGTTAAATGAGGTGCAGCAGTCAGACGTTGACTTCCCGCAGCCGTCATGCACAACAGAAGCCCAAGTTGGAAACGCAGCAGACATGAGAGCCGCGCTTGTGGACTACTACAGTCAAGTGAACTAAAACGCACCAATCACAAGAATCGCCGGAACGAGTACAGGAAATCGCATCACTATTTATTAAAAAAATCAACCATTGCATCTACAAGTTTCTCCTGCAGCTTTAATGCTTTGGTTCGAATTTCCATCTCCTCTTTATGGGCGGCTTCAAATTGCTCGCTCAAGAGCCGCTGCTCATTCAGCATCTTCTCCTTGATTTCGGCACCTGTGTACTTCCTCCGTTTTCTGCGGGCGTCATCTCCACTGTCGCTTGAGCTGTTTCTGCGCCCGCTGACACAGTCTTGGATGTTGCTTGGCTGCTGAGGTGCTGATGAAGCCTGTGTGAATTCGGGTGCATCTACTTCCGTATCGTCACTTGACGATCCGGCCACCATGCCAGAGATGAGCTGCATTTCAAGAAAATGACAGAAATGCGGTGATTGCACATTTTCACATGTGAAATAGCCATTAATAACTGTGTGCTATACGTCTGAGTGATGAAAATGTCACATAGAGAAGGAAATGTCAACAAGAGTGCTTTTTGTGTTACAATGCTGACTCCCACACGAATCGCTTAACCATTACGTTTACCCTAAGGACTGGTGTAATGGTTCCAAAGCTCTGTGATGCCGAAATGGCAATGTGAGTGCAGATGTATTTCAGCCACTGCAGTATTTGTCCCATAATGTACTCTTATGACTGTTCCTGTTATATTTGTTCTGGTTTGTGCCACCATGTCATGTTAAATCGTACTTTATTGTGGTGATGTGACCGATTAAACGCAAAAGAAAATGCTTTCTGAAAATATATTTCTTTGTTGGTTTATTTAAAACACTACAGCAACAATATCTCGGAGAACATGGCTAAAGGCAAACATGAAGCACCAACGTGGTGCACACTGTGCTACACTGGTACAAAGAGTGGGTTACAGCTTCAAAAAACAAAAAGCCACTGCCATTGCACTTAACACTGCTACTTGCTTGCAATAAAGAATGTAGCTGCCATTAGAAGTTACTTACTTCCTCAACTGAGGGACTGCTGCTTGCTGGGCTCGAGCTGATCCCAGCCTCCTCCATTAAGAGGGGTCGTTCACGGGCAGGCTTCCAAGAAACTTATGGATCTCTACAAAAAAGGGCCAGTTTGGTGGGGACGAGCCCGTTGCCTTTTCTTTAAGGCATTTCCTGAAGAATACGAAAATAAATGATTAAACATATGTTACAAGACTGACAACTGCACACCGAGAAAACCAGTGGTACATGCGAAATGTACAATCGCGCGGCGAAAAGTAGAAAGAAGCGAATTGTTAAACCTGCGCCACATCAATTGCGCGTTTCCTACTTGTTACATGACAGGTTTGCGTGCTTAACAAGCAACAAAGATGCGTTTCTTGACGTTTGTACTTAAACGTGTAACTGCAACATCGCGTCATTGTAAAGCAATCCCACTGCAAATCGTCGAAAAAAAAAAACGTGTGCAGCTAAAACGCGCGATAAGCATGCTTCCAAACGTGGCCATTCACTTGGGGTTCAGCGTTTTGCCTATGATGGGGCGTCGTTTCGAAAAGATTGTTTGGACGTTTCCCACGCCAAATGCGCTTCACCGGCTCGCGAAAAAATTCTGCTCAAATAGCCAGTAAACCTACTGGAAGCGCGCGATAATATACCTGCAATGCAATTTCAAAAAATCATTTTTTCCCATGATCCCTGTTGTCGTCCCACTTCCCTCTTCACGCTTACAGGCCGCTAAGACACGTCAAGCTTACTCAAATAATTTGCCTCACCTGTAGGTGTGTGTCAGATTTTCTATTTTCGTGTGCACTTGGTCCTTCGTGCGGGAGACACCCGCACTTGTGAGCACAGCCGCGATGCTGGCGTACACCTCGTCGTTGTGCTTCTGCGCTCGCAACGAGTGCAGGTTGTCCTCCCAGAGTCTGATTAGGCTCCGCGTATCTGCTTCCGACCATTGCAGATGCTGCCTTTTCCGTGGGGCGCCGGCTGCTTGATCTGCGGAGTTGGCCATAGACGCTCGGACTCGGACCACTTGAATGACGGGCAAACACACGACTGCCACGCTTTCCTCGCTTGTGAAAAATGGCGCGGCGCGAGACCCAGCGTCACCACGTGATATTGCCGACGCGCTGTAGCTGCTTACGAGAGTAGAAAAGGAAATAACTATTAAAAGAGTTCATTATACCTTCTGCAGGACATGAAATTTGTTTTTACAAAGAGTTTTGGTGACAGAAAAATAAGCATTCGCTCTTTTTTTCCCACCACTCGAAAATTGCTGGCGCTCACTGGTCTCGAGGCTACTCATTCGCAGCCGTAAAAGAGATCGACGAACGCCGTTTACGAAAAAGACCGCTTCTGAAAAGGAGTTCGCTCTGTGCCGTGTGTCTGCTGTCAGGAACTCCTTTTCGGAAAAAGACCGCTTACTTAAAAGACTTTTAAGTGCCCGTGTGACAGGGGTATAAACCAGTTAGTCCGCGATCGAGCCATAAGTGACTAAATAAGCAACTTTGTTGCAGGCTATGTTGCCCGCAAAGTGCAGAATAATATGAAATTGCAGCCGGAAATGGCAGTTGCGAGCTGTTGAATGCGCCGCGTTAACTGCAGTGCATACGAGTCCTCAAACGGAAGACCTTTGTGATCCTTCAGTCGTCACATCAATGGCCCAAGACGGGTTCCAGCAGGTGAAGGATTTTTTCAAGTTGCCAACACTCGGCTGAAAGCAGGCGAAAGATGGGCAACAGTCACCTGCTTCCCAATATAATCTCTTCACAATAAAGTCCACGAATGGACTGGGCCCTTTGTTAGTGGACTGTCTATTTGAAACAGTATTCAACAGAAACTTTTGTCGCATCTCTTCACTGTTTGAGGTGCCGTCAGGCATAACTGCTGATGCTGAAGTGACAGCCGCGCTTCAGAGAGGCTCTCAGAAGTTGTGGTGTCGTTTAAAGGCAAACTACCCAAATAGAGATCTTTTAACACATCAGGACCAGGCCCTTGCAAATAAGTGGCTTAGCCGCGTTTCAAGATTGTTGAAGGACAATGATAAAATTAGGAGACTTACGTTCCGGACTAATCTATACCCAACCAGGGCTCTAACTAATAAACAGAGCACAGACCCTGCTTCGAGGCTATGCCGCCTTTGTGATGAAAAGCCAGAGACAGCTTTCTATATTGCCAGGAATGCGTGTCCGTCCACCTTTCTCGCACAGAACGCCACAACTATGTCTCCAGACAGGTCGCCAGGTTGATCAGTAAATGAAATCCGGCTCTCACTGTCCGTGAGGAGCCGCGATTTACCACAAGGAATGGCGTCAGACTCAAGCCTGACCTGGTTGCCGAGTCTGGCGACCAGGTGATGGTAATTGACCTGGCGATCGTCTAGGACGCTAATGAAGGTGTGCTTAAGCCCAAGGCGCGCGAGAAAGGTGCAAAGTACCGGGTCCTGAAGGATCTCCTATCCGCAGAAGGCTTTCTCATCGTGCGGCATTGTCTTCGGAGAGAGGAGCATGGTCTGTAGGGAAACTGTGGAGCTTGGGTTAGCGCTTGGGTTTAGTCGGCACGATTTCGCTTAAGTTCATCAGATTTAAGGGGGAGTTTGATTTGCCTTCATAGGTTTCGCAACAAGGTATAAGCCTTGAGCTCATTTTAGTTTCCTTTTTGTTTCGCTATGATCTTCCTATGTTGATTTTTGAATACAATAATTGACTTTTCTTTGTAGTCGTGTTTTTTAGTTAATTTCTCCCATCCCTCCTGTTGTTCATTTTTTTCTGGTGGCCATGGCAATAAAGACAAGTATTTCAATACAATTACACTATAGCTTCCATGGATAGTTCATACACATGACGTCCTTGAGAAGGCCAATGGGGACTGCAAATGCTAACGTTGGCTGGGAGTAATTCCATTCCTCTTCTGGGCCTTGCAAATGTCCTCATACTAAGTCTTGTCGTGGTCACCTCGCACCACACAAGGCTGTGAAAATGTATGTTTTTTTTCCCCAGTTTGGAATGTTTCATGAAAGCCTTGGCATCAACGAGTCAACGGTGTCGTAATAACGAGCCCACTCTTCCAGTTGATTTCGGCAAAAGACTTGAATGATGTGCTCTCTAAGTGGGCACACTTGTGATAGCTGAAATGTATATTGTAGGTGGAACAATAGGATGATGAGACACCTCTTGGGTTCAGGGTTGTTAGAAATTTCATGTCTGTCTTGCCCGCCCTTAAACAACATGATGTCTGCTTTGAAAAAGTACAGGCTTTGCACGATCTCCTGACGTGTACATGCATTCATATATACGTCGTGGCCAGGCACCGCGATGACAATACAAGAATGATAACTAAGCAGAAGAAATCGCAGAGAGGGACTGTTAGCCAAGAGTCATCTGCGCTAACACAGAAAGATCTGGCATTTCTTATGTCACATATGCACACATCTCTGGGAACAAACAACGTCGGCCTGGCCACCGGTCCTCAAAACTTCAAGGCGAAGTGTGGCCATGTGGGCACGGCAGGAGAGGCAGGAGGTGCCACGCTACTTTGTGAGCAACGCACCTTGGAAGACGCAGCGGCGTTTACGGCGCGACCTGCCCCTGGACAGTGTCCCATGGCCATTCCGGGGCTGCACACTGGCGCACATCGAGAAGGCAGCCGGAGGTGCCCAACTGCCTACCGATGCTGCGGTGGAGTTCTGTGCCACGTGCCGTGTGACTGTGCACTATCAGTGCCACTATAAGGGTGCCATGCACGTGGCGCGGACAGAGACTGCTGCTGAGGGGATGGCCACCACGAGGAAGGCTTCAAAACCAGCCCCGCTCAGCCAGCGCTCGGACACTGACCTGGCGGCCCTGTGCTGACAGCGAATGGGGGAGGACCCCCATTTCGCGGCGCTGCTGTCAGGGCTGCCACTGCTCACAACCAGCAAAGGGCCATCGATGGACAGCGTCGCCACGATGGACGTGGATCGTCTGTTAGAACTATAGGGCCACGCGGAGCCTCCCCCCCCCCCCCCCAGAATGCTGCACCAGGCCAAATATATGTTTTTTTTTATTTCTGGAGTGTATTGTTGTGTTGTTTCATTTTTTTTTCTTAAGCAGCAGTTGTGGAGCGAGGCTGAGGCTAGCTGTTGCCCATTGCATGACGTCTTTTTATGCATGGGGGACGACCGACTGTCTTTGCAGACCGGTATATAGGGTGAATTAAGGAGAGGAGGATGTGGGGATCTGAGGCGCGCTCGCGACCGTTTCGCCAGCATTCCGTCGCACGGCCACACCCTTTTGCTTTTTCTGCTCTGGTAACGGCGCGCGGCGATAGACAGCGCCACGTGCGGGCGCGGCACACGGTACGTGCACGCTGAGGGAGCGGTCTCTCCTCCGTAGTCGGCGCCGGGTAAGCACGTGTTTCCTTCGTCCGCATCCCCTTTGGGAATCGCCGGACTGTAGCCTGCCTGGGGTGGCCTTTGGCACCTCGGCAGGCGTGTTTACTTAAGTGCTAGCTTCGATACCATAAGCTAAGCCCACAGCAGTGCCTAGTGCTCGAAGTGGTCGTACCACACCGAGCCGCACTTGCCGTAGGCCTATGCGTACGAGGTTTGCCCTAACAATCGCGACCAGGCCCAGTGGTCATAGTGAGAGTGCGCAGCATAGCCCCGAGGGACTTTTTCCCGATTGGCATGTCAAAGCTCGCCATCGCCAGCTGCGACGTGCTCGCGGTTTTCCCTTACTGTGAAAGTCCGCGTGCGGGTGCCTTTGCTCTCCGCACCCCGGTAGCGGACGTTGTACTGTTGTTCGGGGTGCCGCCAAAGGCAATAAAGTGTGTGTTTTGTATTGAAACATTGTCTGTTTTGCCGCGCTGCGCTAAACGCCCAAGTAGTTGAGCGCCCGGAGCGGTGCGCTACACGCGAGTAGGTGACGAAGTCGCAGCCCTGTGGCTCGCTAAGCGGGAACCCGCGGTGATCCGCTACGGTGAGTAGCGGGGTCACCATAACTTGAAAAGTGAGCCAACACAGAAATCATACATGCTATTCACTTGCGTCGGAATACACGCTGTTCACCTCGAGCTTGTTTTACGCTCCACAGCAGACAGTTTCTTGGAAGCCTTTCGGCGTTTCACTGCATGTCGTTGATTCCCTTTAGTGATTTACTCGGACAATGCTTTGTGCTTTAAATGTGCTTCTCGCGAACTTCATGCTATGTATGACACTAATAGGAGAAGTCAAGTCGGCGATTACCTGTGTGCTCATAGCATCACGTGGAAATTCTCTGCTGACCGTGCTCCTTGGTGGGGCGGATTTGGGAGTATATGGCAAGGTCAGTGAAAGACAACTTAAGACACCTGCCCATTTCTTACATGGCAAGCAATTGACTGCTCTCCCCGACTTGCAAACTGCACACGTGGTGCCTAGCTCCCATACGAAGCTTCTTAAAACTTGGATACAGCGACAAAAGCTTCAAAAAGACTTCTGGAATCACTGGTATAAGGAATACTTAATACTCCTTAGAACCGCTCATAATAGGCCGGTGGTGGACATTACTAGTATTGCGGAAAGCAATATAGTGATAGTGCGTGACAATGCTCTGCCCAAGTTGTGTTGAAAATTTGAGCGCATTCTGAAAAACATTACGAGACACGACGGCATTGTTCGTGCATGTCGCCTAAAGCTAGCAGATGGCAAAATTGTAATGCGGGCTATACAACATTTGTGTTTCCAAGAAATGCGCTCGCAGCAATTCATGGGCCGGGAGTGTTAGAAACAGTGGACATAGGGTGCAGGAGAGGAAGAGAAGGACGAAGGATGGCACGTGGGGTGGTTCTTGGATCTACGCCGTAATAAACGAACGTCGAGACACTCTGCTCTTCATCTCCAGGCGTATTAGTCCTTTGAAGCCGGTTTTTTACGAAAGAAGTTTTTGGATATTGCAGACAAGTGGATCCAGCCATTTAAAATGGGAGAAAACCAAGGATCGTTTATAGTACATTTTGAGAGGACTTCTGAAAGATTGACCTGCCCTCCTGATA